CTCCTTTTAATTCTGTTCATATTTGCTGTATGTATTTTGATACTATGTTATTAAGTGCACACATGTCCATGTAAGTATAAATGTAGGGGCCGGCACTGCGGCTCAGTGGGTTAAAGCCCTTGCCTGAAGCGCCGGCATCCCAAATGGGCACCAGTTCTACTCTTTGCTGCTCCTCTTCTGATCCAGCTCTCTGCTACTGCCTGGGAAAGCAGTGGAGGATGGTCCAAGTGCTTGGGTCCCTGCACCTACGTGAGAGACACGGAAGAGGCTCCTGTCTCCTGACTTCAGGTCGGCTCAGCTCTGGCCATTTGCAGCCATATGGGGAATAAACCAAAGGATGGAAGACCTCTCTCTCTCTCTCTCTCTCTCTCTCTTGCTCTCTCTGTAACTCTTTCAAATAAATGAAAATAAATCTTTTTTAAAAAAGTATATACATATACACACAAACACATACATTCAGAAACATAAAAACAACAAAATAGAACTCTAAGAAAAAAAATAAAATGTAAAGGGGATATTTTATATAATAAAAAGAAATCAAAAATCATAAACATTTTCAAATGGAAAACTTAACAGCTATTTTTCAGAAAATGATAGAACAGGCACACAAAATCTCACTGAGGAGGGTGGTCTTCGGTCTGGCAGTTAAGACACCCATGTCCCACAGTGGAGTACTCGGGTTCAACTCCTGGCTCTGGTTCCTAACTCCACCTGCCTGCTGCTGCAGAGCCCGGGAGACAGTAATGATGGCTCAAGTAGGGGGTTCCTGCTACCCAAGTGCGATCTGGATTGAGTTCCCGGCTCCCAGTCCCCAGCTTCAGCTCTGAGGTTGTTGCAGACACTGGGAGAATGAAGCAGCAGATGGGGGAGTGACCTCTCACTTTCTCTCTCTCTCTTCCTTTCTCCCTTCCACTCTCTCTCTCTCTCTCCCTCCCTCCCTCCCTCCCCTCAAATAACTAAATGAAGATACAGCAGATTTTAAAAATATGATTAAACAACCTGGCTTCATAGGCATTTACAGAACATCACATCCACCAACTGCTCATGAACCTAATTTTCAAGCACACATAGAAATACACCAAAGTACTTTATGGATAATCATAAAACAAACCTCACCACATTTTAAAGGATGGGACAATATGGAGCAGAGCTTGTCAACTTTAGTTAGCACAGATAACAACTAACATCTTGACAAAACATCCAAATTTAGCATTTTCTGAAGCCTCCAAGTAGAACTGATGCTACAGGGCTCATGAACCACACTGTGAAGGCGAAGAATACAGACTATATTATCTGACCACAAATTTTTTTTTAAGATTTATTTTATTTGAAAGGCAGAGTCACAGAGAAAGGTAGAGACAGAGAGAGAGGTCTTCGATCTGATAGTTAACTCCCCAGATGGCCGCAATGGCTGGAGCTGTGCCGATCTGAAGGCAGGAGCCAAGAGCTTCTTCCAGGTCTCCCATGCAGGTGCAGGGGCCCAAGGACTTGGGCCATCTTCTACTGCTTTCCCAGGCCATAGCAGAGAGCTGGATCGGAAGAGGAGCAGCCGGGACTAGAACCGGCACCCATACGGGATGCCGGTGCTTCAGGCCAGGACTTCAACCCACTGTGCCACAGCGCCGGCCCCAACTACAAAATATTTTAACTATAAATTATGTAAAAGATTACCAGAAAATAGCTAGAGTTTTTGAAAGTAAACACTCGGCCGGCGCCGCGGCTCACTAGGCTAATCCTCTGCCTAGCGGCGCCGGCACACTGGGTTCTAGTCCCGGTTGGGGCGCCGGATTCTGTCCTGGTTGCCCCTCTTCCAGGCCAGCTCTCTGCTGTGGCCAGGGAGTGCAGTGGAGGATGGCCCAGGTGCTTGGGCCCTGCACCCCATGGGAGACCAGGAAAAGCACCTGGCTCCTGGCTCCTGCCATCGGATCAGCGCGGTGCGCCGGCCGCAGTGCGCCGGCCGCGGCGGCCATTGGAGGGTGAACCAACGGCAAAGGAAGACCTTTTTCTCTGTCTCTCTCTCTCACTGTCCACTCTGCCTGTCCCCCCCCCCCAAAAAAAAAAAGTAAGCACTCATTATTTTTTAAAGATTTTTTGATTTTATTTGAGAGGTAGAGATACAGACAGTGAGAGTGAGAGACAGAGAGAAAGGTCTTCCGTCTGCTGGTTCACTCCCCAGATGGCGGCAAGAGCCAGAACTGTGCCAATCTGAAGCCAGGAGTCAGGCACTTCTTCCCAGTCTCACACTTGGGTGCAGGGGTCCAAGGACTTGGGCCATCTTCCACTGCTCTCCCAGGTCATAGCAGAGAGCTGGATTGGAAGTGGAGCAACCAGGACTAGAACCGGCGCCCATATGGGATGCCGGTGCCACAGGCAGAGGATTAACCTACTGTGCCATGGCACCAGCTAAACACTCATTTTCAATAGCTCACGGATCAGAGAATAACAATGAATATTATAAAATACTTTCAACTGAATAATAGGAAAAAACTACCCATAAAAACTCATAGGTAGCAGCTAAAGCAGTACTTATAGAGAAATTTTAAATGTTAGAAGTACATATTAGAAAAGAGAGGCTGAAAATTAATTGTAAAAGTTTCCAATTTTTGAGGCCAACGAAAGAAGAGGAAATCAACCTAAATAAAGTAGGATAGATAAAATAAATCAATAAAATAGGAAGCAAACATACAATAAATTTAATAAAGGTGGTGCTTTTAAAATGTTGTAAGTCTATAGAAATACTGATTAAAATAAGGGAGAAAGCACAAATTATGAATTTTAAAACTTCTATAGATCTAAAGATTAAAATGCATTATGAAATACTTAATGGTAATGAATTTTACAGCTAGTACAAGATGTACTGTGGGTGCTGTGGCACAGTGGGTCAGGCTGCTGCTTGGGATGCCTGCGTCCCATATCAGAATGCCTGCTTTGAGTCCTGGCCACTCTGTGCTTCCCCAGCTGTCTCCATGGGAGACCCAGATGAAGTTCCTGGCTCCTGGCTTTGGCATGGCCCACCCCTGGTATTTGTGGGCATTTGGGGAGAGAATCAGGGGATGGAAGATCTTTTCCTCTCACTCTCCACCCTTCAAGTAGATGACAATAAGTAATAAAATAAAACAAAAAAATTAAATAGGAGAACAGTCATTTACCCTAACAGTTATGATGTCTGTCAAATTGGAGTGTTGGAGTTCAATGCCAACCTCTAGGTCGTGACACCAGCTTCCTGCTAATGCAGTCCCTGGGAGCCAGCAGTGATGGTCAACCAACTGGGTTCCTGTCACCTGGATTGAGTTTCAAGCTCCCAATTTGGGCCTCAGCCCAGCCCCAAATATTGTGGGCGTTTGGGGAGTGAATCCTAGATTGGGAGCGAATCCTAGATTGGGAGCTTGCTAGCTTTCTCTCTCTCTTTCTCTCTCTGCCTCTCAACTAACTAACTAAACAAATAATTTTTTTAGAAGACAATGACAGAGAAAAATGGTAAGAAGCTGGACTAGTGATCAGTTGTGGAGAGCCCTCAGTGCATATCCAGAACAAAGTTTATCAAGTGGGAAGCAACTGAGTTGGATAAAAACCAAGTCATAAGCAGGAAATGAGGATGTAGAGTCTTGCAGAAAACTCTCTAGAACCAGTTGGTAGGGGGAAAAGGAGAAGACAGAATGGTGGTTGAAAGGGTCAATCGAGGGGCTGGTGCTGTGGCACAGCGGGTTAACGTCCTGGCCTAAAGCACCGGCATCCCATATGGGCGCTGGTTCTAGTCCCGGCTGCTCTTCTTCCAATCCAGCTCCCTGCTATGGCCTGGGACTAGCAGTAGAAGATGGCCCAAGTCCTTGGGACCCTGTACCCATGTGGGAGACCTGGAAGAAGCTCCTGGATCCTGGCTTTGGATCGGCGTAGCTCCGGCCATTGCAGCCAACTGGGGAGTGAACCATCAGATGGAAGACCTCTCTCTCTCTCTCTCTCTCTCTCTCTGCCACTCCTCTGTGTAATTCTGGCTTTCAAATAAATAAATAAATATTAAAAAAAAAAAAGAAAGGGTCAATTGAAATTATTGACAACACTGGGGAAATTATACACACTTGAGGGCTGAAGAGACCGTGCTAGTGAAGGCAGGAAGATGGAAGAAGACAGAGAGAATGTTAGCAAAGCAAGTTCTCTAAGGAGAAAAGCGACACAGAACCCAGAACACACACGGTAGGACAGAGCACATGAGCATGGTGGTCTCTGAGGAGGGAAGTCATCCTCTGGGACAGAAGGAGCAGAGACCTAGATCAAGACAGACTATTCAGATGAAGAGAGCAGTGGGGAAAGGCGTGCTGTCCTGGGCTAAGCTTCCCCACTGTGGGTTTAGGGCACTGGCTTAGGGAGTGATTGTAGGTCTCTAAAGTGAGATTCATAGCTCAGAGAGCAGCTGGAGACGGACATCCTGACAGATATCAGATAGCACAGACCTGCTGGGCAAATCCACACCCAGGGCTCACTATTAGGAAGCCTTTGCTACAGGGAAGCCGACACTTTCCTCGCATTCCCGGAGACGGCGGCTCCTCTCCAGCCCCTTGCTTTGTCTCCCTCTGCCTGCAACTTCAGGCTCCCCGCCAGCACAACCCAGCAGACTGTGAGGACAGTCAACTTTTGTATTTGTGTTTCATGCGACTGTTGAGCACGTGAAATGTGCACAATGTGCCTGAGGAATTGAACTTCCAAGTTTTACTTAATTAACTGCAATTTCAGTAGCCACAAGTGACTAGCAGCTGTACTCACTAGGACAGCTTCAGAGCGAGTTCTTTCTCCTGTGACCCCACAGGCGAGGAAGAGGGTATGGGGGCTCACAAGACATTTTGCAGTTGAGAAGTATTTTCCCAGGAACTACTCTGGGAGACCCTGCCAAGAGTAGGTCTGTAGTTTCAGAAATCAGATTTTCTTTGTGCACACGAAACTCACGCGTATCAGCTGTTTTGGAGAATAACTGTTATCTCATGCCTAGATTCTGAGTATTCTCTTACCTTAGGGACAGTCCCATCCCCAAATCCACATCCCTGGGAAGCAGTATTAGCTCTTGATGAGAAAATGTGGAAACGCAGGAGACAATTTAGCCCAGGCGAAAGCAGTTCCTCTTCCTCTTTTGTGGTCACAGGGAGGAAGTCTGGAGTCCTAGAAATAGTCCTGGCTGAGAATCAGAGAGACTTGGATTCAAATTTTGTCTTAGAATAAACTATTCAACTTTTTTGACTTTGCATTTGACATTTGAAAAGTAGAAAGAACAATACCTTCTTGAAGGGCAGTTGCGGGTGCTACATACAATGAATAACTTACTCATTCCACGCTGATGTGCTGGGTAATGAATTAGGTACTAGGAATAACGGGGTCGGGGCAAAGCATAGGATTCTTGATCCAAAAGAGTTTATGCTCTAGTGTGAGAAGGTAGACATCAACCAGGTAATCCCACAAGTACATACTGTAGCTTTATATTATAATTACATGTTATATAAAATTACAGACTGTGATATATCCAGGAAGGGAAAGGAGAGACGAGATGTTTAAAATGTCTGTAGATTTCTCGACACTCTCCCTCTGAAAGGTAGAATCTACTTCCTCACCCACTGGATATGGGCCAATCTTAGTGGCTTACTTTTTAACAAATAAAATTCGGCAGATGCGGTGCTCTGTGGCTTCTGAGGCTAGTGCATTAAAAATGAGATGGCATCTTCCTGCTGTCTGTTTCCATTTCTGTCTCTCTTTCAGTGCTTGGCTTTGAAATCAAGTCAATAAGTTGTAAGAATAGGCCAGAAAGTACAGAGAGGACCGTGGTGAGCCCCTGAAGCCAACAGCTTGCCAGCCAGGAGTGAGCCATTTTGAAGTAGAAATGCCAAAGTCAGACCTTCAGATCACTGCATTCCTAGGTGACACCTGACCTCAATCTCTAAGAAACCACAAGCCAGCAGCACCTAAACAAGGCATGACCGACTACTGGCCCACAGAAGCTATGAGGGATAATGAGTGATTGCTCTTGTTCGAAGACATTAAATTTTGGAGAGATTGGTCATCCAGTCTTAGATAGCAAATACAAGAGGAAGTCAGGGGACAAAGTCTGGGGGACCGGGAAAGACCTGCAGGTGAAATGATATTTGAACTAGTAACAGGAGGAGAGAAATCAGAGAAGAGGGAAAGTGTTCCAAGGGCCCTTTAGGCAAATGATAACTGAGAAATCAGAAGTTATCCAGGGTGGAAGGAACACACACCAATGAGAAAGGGAGAGATGGAAGATTCCTGAAAAGACAAGATGGAAGGGTTAGATCACTCGGGGCCTTGGAATGACATTTTTTTTCTAGATATGGCAGAATGCTCCTGATTGGTATTCATCTGGTTGGGATGCAGCAAACCTGATTTCTAGGTTTCTGGTCCCTTTCCCTGAGATGGCAAACACATGAGGAGGATCAGGTTCACCGTCTGTATGTTCATGGATGTGGGGAGATTGTCTGAGATACCCACCCGGTGGTACAGGTAAGAGAGTCAGAGTACACATGTGGAGTTCCAGAGAGAGGGTGAGATGACCTGTGCACATTTGGAAGCCAATAGCAACCAAACAGTAAGTGAAAGCAGTGGAGTGAATGAGCCCATCTGGAAATAGGACAGAAAAATAGAAGCTTGGGACACAGAATTATGAAATTTTAGGGTAATCGGAGGAAAGTGGTTAGCAAAGGAAAATGAGAAAGCAGCCAGAGAAAGAGACGAAAATGAGGGTGTCTCAGGGATGTGGTGCTCAACAATGTCGAGCAATGCAAGTGAGATGGGGTAGATGAAGAGCCCACTGAACTTGCTACGCCAAGTCTTGACACCATAAAGAGGGCTGTTTTCATAGAATAGGTGGTGGTGCTGAAGCCCAGCAGGGGAAGGTTGAGGACTAAATGGAAAGCAAAGAAATGGAGGTTGGAGAACTCCTTTACGAAGGTTAGGTGTGCATGGGAGGAGGGGACAGGAGCTGGACAATGAAGTTAGAAGACTAGAAGGTTATTTTTGGGTTGTTGCTTTTAAGGTGGGAGAGAGGCTTGTGTGTGTTTCAAAGCTAAGGGAAAGGATCCAGTATAAAGTGACATTGAAAATCTGGAAGACAGAGGGAATAATGTACCCAAAAAGGATTATGAAAAGTGGCTGGCGCCGCGGCTCACTAGGCTAATCCTCCGCCTTGCGGCGCCGGCACACCGGGTTCTAGTCCTGGTCGGGGCTGCAGCGCGCCGGCCGTGGCGGCCATTGGAGGGTGAACCAACAGCAAAGGAAGACCTTTCTCTCTGTCTCTCTCTCTCACTGTCCACTCTGCCTGTCAAAAAAAAAAAAAAGGATTATGAAAAGTGATAGATTCAGAACAAGGTGAAGCACTTGAATATTGGTGGTTGTCTTTAAACATACTTTTAACTTGTTGAAAAACTGTGAATTATAACACAGATGTATGAGAGTGCTTAAATACAGGACTCAGTGACTCATTATGGGGAACATCCAGGGAACCAGGCAAAACAGAACACTGCCAGCACTCCTGAGGCACCCACTCCCATGTTGCCCTCATGTGTCCCAACACCCTAACCCTAGCCACTCCTACCGCCCCAGATTCATTGTCATTATTTCCTGTTCTATCTAGTTTTTCCTTCTTTCCAGTTTCACCACCTAACTTGCATATCCCTAGCAACGCTGTTACATTTCACTTGATTTTCTCTTCCAATTGTTTTTTCTCATTTTCTTTGAAAGGCACACACACACACACACACACACAGAGATAGAGAGATAGAGAGATAGAGAGAGATCTTCCATCTGCTGATTTACTCCCCAAATGCCCACAACAATCAAGGCTGGGTCAGACTGAAGCCAGAAGCTCCATCTGGGTCTCTCCTGTGGGTGGCAGGGACTCAGTTGCTGGAGCCACCATCTGCTGCCCCCCACGGTGCCCATAAGCAGGAAGCTGGTTCTGAAGTGGAGAAGCAGGCACACCAGCATCCTCAGTGCTGCACCCAATTTTGCTTGCTCTCGAGCCTTCTATAAACATAAGAATACTGTGTGAATTCTTTTATTGCACTTCTTTTACTTAATATTTATATTTGTAGGGCTTATTCATGTGGTGGCAGGTAGCTGTTCTCTCATCTTCATCCCTGTATAGTATCCCATTGTATGATCGTGCCACAACTCATGTATCCTTTCTACCATAAGAGGGCATTTGAGTTATTTCTTAAGGTTATTGCAAAAATGCCCAACGAACATTCTTGTACATGTGTCCTGGTGCACACAAGCCTGAGTGCCTCTTGGTGTGTTCCTAAGAGCAGGAGTTTGTGGTCACAGAGTATGCAGTCCTACACCCTCACTAGCTTTTCACTTCACTTTTTCAAAGCAGTTCTACCAACGTATGCTCCTATAGGAAAAAAAAAAAAAACTGAACCTAGTTAGAAATGAGGCAACTAATAGCATCATTATTAACACAATTTACCTGTAGTTCCAAGCGATCCGTTCCTGAGTCAGGTGCTTCCTGCGGGTAAATTCTAACCGGCTGGGTCTTCTCTAGCTTCCAGGGTCTCTCAGCTTGCTTTGTTATCACAAAGTGGAACACCGTTTCCCTTATGTGTTCCACGTTAGCTTCTTCCTTGGGAAGGCTTTTGGGGAGCAGACTCTCTTGTGCCACCATTGATGTCCATAGTTCTCTCATCGTAGGGTAGGTCCTGCAGTGGATGGTGGGTCTTTTGCATGCAGTGTAGCGCTGCCTGGGGCACGTCAGTAGATGACAAAGTCAATGAGATCTGGAGCTGGGAGGCTTGGGTTTGGATTGCTGCTCTGCACTCACTAGTTGTACAAGCAGGACCCGGACCCAGTCACTTCACCTGTCTGCTCTCAGCTTCGTTATCCGGAAAATGAGAATAACAACAGTAGCTACCTGCCAGGGTGGCTGGCGGAATCAAATGAGGCAATATATGCAGAGTCCTCAGAACCCCGCGTGGTATGCTGTTGCTCTGGTTTCTACTCATTTCCGTTTCGGTGGCAGTGGAGGTTAGGGGTTATGAATATGGAATACCTGAGTCAGAAGGTATTCAGGTCCTAGCTCTGCAACCACAGGCCAAGTAACCCACCCTTCATCTCAGTTCCTCACCACTATACCTCGGGGTAATGTCAGCTACTCACACGGGTGCTGTGCCGATGAGTGGAGATGGCAGAGGCAAAAAAAAAAAAAAAAAAAAAAAAAAAAAGGCTCAGTGCTGATTACAGATGCGAGACATGGCGGCTGCTGTCAGTCTAGCAGGTGGGGGCCGCTGATCCTGCTCTCAGGTGTTGGGTGCAAACAGCTCACCAACACTCAATCCATAGGTCCTGAGCATCGACCAGCGGGTGGCTGAGGGGCGCAAGAATGCATGGGACACTTAGGGGCAGAGATGACAGTGACAGCCACTTCTCGTTTGCGTGTAGGCCCTGCACAGTATATGCTGAGTTGAATGAGACCCAGTCTACTCTGCATGGGCTCAGACAGGTGGGCGTCACCAGTAACATGCAGATGATGGTCACTGACAGATATGAGCAGTGTACATGGAGCAGGGAGCTCTGGGGCCAGAGAGAGGAAATACCTAGTTGGGCATTCTTCCTGGAAAAAAGCTTTTAAGGTGAGTCTCAAAAAATGTGCATCTTGGAGCCAACATTGTGGTGTAGTGGATAAAGCCACTGCCTGTGACACCAGCACCCCATATGGGTGCTAGTTCAAGTCCTGGCTGCTCTACTTCCAGTCCAGCTCCCTGTTAATGGCCTGTGAAAAGCAGTGGAAGATGGCCCAAATACTTGTGCCTGTGCTACCCATGTGAGAGACCCAGATGAAGGTTCTGACTTCTGGCTTTGGCCTGGTTCAGCTGTTGCAGCCACTTGAGTAGTGAACCTGCAGATAGAAGACTTCTGTCTTTGTAACTCTGCCTTTCACATAAATATATAAATAAATAAAATTTTTAAAAAATGTGCATCTAAATGGGAGAAGTTGCCGAAAATACTGGTCAGCGTGTCCTGTTGCAGCAGTTTGCTCCCAGGGGGGTCCAGTCCTGGCCCTTGTGGGCATTCATTCAGGGAGTGAACCAGTCTGTCTGCCTTGGAAATAAATACGCGCATTAGTAAAACGATGTTTTGTACTGCGTCTATTTCCCTTTTCTCAGTTATCTTCATTTAGGGATTCCTCCGGCACAAAATAGGCGCCATCATTTTTCTCCAGAGGCGCCGCGGTCCAGGGTGCGGGAGCTGCTCGGGGGGCTGCGTCAGGAGGGCACAGCTGTGCAAAACTTGGCCCGATCTACCTACCAGGGAGCCGGTTTATCCCCGTTTTCTGAGTTACCCACAAGGTCTCGGTATGCCACTACCTCCAAGGCAGGGTTAAAATGACTCTTTTAGTGTGGAAACGAACTTCCTGCACAAACAAGACGGTGATGGGAAGCTGCCGGACGCAGCGTTCCACGGCTTCGGAAGTTTTTTGTTTTTACGGGACCCATGACTTTTGGAAAGCACAAGGCGCGGCGAGCAGGCAGCCTCGGCTCTCGAGAAGACCGTGCTGGCCGGGCAGGTTGTTACGAACTCCGTAATTATCCTGCCCTGCCTCTTCCCGGAGGACGGACTTCCACAGAGCCGGAGCCGGCAACTTCTGTGAAGTGAAAGGGCGGGCGGGAAAAATCCGGCGGGGAGCGCGGCCCACAGAAAGCGCCCGCCGCCCTCGGGGGTCGCCGCCCGAACCTCCGCACTAGAAGCTCCCTTTTCCGACCCCCGCGTGTGTAGAGGGGGCGGGGAAACTGAGGCACGGCGCGCGCGGGCGACTGCCCCCAGCTTCCCGGCTCCCGCGCGCGGGCGCAGCGCCTCACGGCCGCCCCGCCCCGGGTCTGGACAAAGCCCGGCGCCCGGCCCGGAGCGGGAGGGCGGCTCCCGCGCGCGCCCCGTTCCCCGTGGGCGCGAGACTCCGCCCCGCCGCCCCTCCGGGGGTGGGGGGACAGGGAGCCCGCCCCGGCCCCATGACGTCACCGGCGGCGGCAGGCCCCGCCCCCGGCCCCGGGCGGCAGGCCGCATGACGTCACCGAGGCCCCACCCCTCCGGAGCGAGTTCGGTCCTGGCGTTCATTTCATTCCTGTCCTCATTCCGAACATTCTTAGCATCGCTCGCGCCGCGCCGCGCCGCCCGAGCCGAGCCGAGCCTCTGCAGCCGCCGCCGCGGCCCCGCCGCCCGCCGCGGGCGCCCCTCGAGCACTTTGCGGACTCGCGTCCACCCTGCGGGCCAGTCCGCGCGGCGGGGCCCGGGCCCGGGGCGGCCGCGTCCGGGGCAGGCCATGCAGTGACGCCCCCCCACCCCTTCCACCTTTGCCCGGAGCGCGGGCAGCAGCCCAGCGCGCCCGGCCGGCCCCGGGGCAGCAGCGGCGCTAGGCAGGGGTGGGGTGGCCCGGCCCGGGCACCGGAGCCGGGCGGCGAGCGGAGGGCGGGGGAAGCGGCCCCGAAGTTTGCCTCGGACTCGCCGGGCGCCGCGGCGGCTCCGTGGGCCGAGGTAAGTTGGCGCGCGGGGCGGATGCCGGGGTGCGGGCCGCTCTTTCTCTGCGGGCTGTGCTTTGTGTGAGGCGGGCGGGCCGGGGGCCGGGGCTCGCGCCCCCTCCTAGGTGAGCGGCGGGGCGCCGCCGGGTGAGTTGCCGGCCGCCAAGTTGGGCCGCGCGCTGGGAGCCCGCGCGGCAACAGGCGGCCCCGCCGCGCCCCCCGCGCGCCCCTCTCCCGCCGCCGCACGCGCGCGCGCGCGCGTACACGCCCCGGGGCGCTGTTCGCGGGGCTCCCGGAGGAGCCAGAAGTTGGGAGCGAGCGCGGGCGGGGAGCCCGGAACCGGCCCGGTCCCCCCCGCGCGCCGCCCCCCGGCGCTGGGGCCCCTCGAGGCCGGCGAGGGGTCTGCGCCGACCCGGGCTGCCGGCGGGGGTCTCGCTCCCAGGGTCCCCAAGATGAAAGCGGCCACGGTCGCGCTGGCGGCTCCTCCAGGACTGTGGCCGCCGCCGCCGCCGCCGCCGCCGCTGTGTTGCACATTCAAGTGGAAAATTTTCAGGAGTCAGCAGAAACATTGTGTCCAAAAACGACCGAGGCGCAGTTACCACCAAACCCGGGAGGAGACTGGCGCTGAGAAACTTCCCTTCGGTAGGAAATACCGGGGGTGTGCTTGTGTGCGGGCAGCGGGGCGGTCCCCCAGAGGGGACCGAGTCCGGGTGCGCTCCGAGCCTTTGTTCGGAGCAGCAACACTTGTTTTCCAGAGTCCAAAGGCCCGCTTTAAAGAAAGTTCAACTTCGTGAGTTTCCTTTTTTTTTTTTAAGTGTATTTTTTAAAAAATCAAAGCGACATTTTTAAAAAGAGTCGAATGCAGTGGGAGGCTCGCACCACCTTCTTCCTCCCCCGAAAACAAACAAAATCCAGATTCGAATTTTCTTTGGTTTTTAGTTGCCTTTCTTTTTCAGGATTTACTTAAAGTTGAATGGTGTCACTGTATAAAAATATTTATGAAACAATGAAATAGCAGCCGCCAGCCTTTCTCAGGAGGCTTATTAACTTCTTAGAAGCAAGTGGCTGCCTGTGATTTGCAGAAATGAAAATTGACCTCGGCCAGCACGGGGAAACTTAACAGACAGATGATGTTCCAAGAATAGGGAATGGGAAAAGGCCGTGCTTGAAAACAGTGCCGTGGAGGGAGCCCGGCTCTGGGACAGCAAGGTCTCAGGAGCCTGTGTGATTTCGGAGCAGTCAGGTACATAAGTAATAAAAAAATAATTGGAAAGGCTGCAGATTCCGCAGAGGAGCAGAACACCACGACTTCAGGACAAACCCTGGCTTCCTTCTCCCCACCTGCCACCTGGCTTGTCTTTGGGAATTAAGGTGGTCCGATGGTTTGGGGTGTGCCACTTGCCTGCAGGTGGTTACCTGAATAGACAGATCCCTCCCTCCTGGGAGGTGCGATCCGCCGTACATTGTCTGCCAGCCGTGGGTCCTTTCTCTGCAGCCTGCTGGGAGCTGTGCTGGGCTCCTGAGCGGGGGCTCCTCCGCCAGCTGGGCTGTTGGGAGGCAGTGGTTGGGGAAAAGTCTCTGCCTCGGCCGGCCGGGCTGCATCGTTTCACTGCTGGGCTTTTGCCTTTCTGTAAACAGCAGACTCTCTGGGCCCAGGCACATCTGCCCGCTTACGAGGACCAGACTTCGATTCAACTTTGCTGTCTTTCCTCTTTAGAAGGAAATGGTCGAACTAGTAGCAGAGTGGATCAGGGAAGACAGTTGGATTCAGAGGAACCTTTGTCAACAGCGAGTTTTTGAATGGTTGATTCTTTGGGGGGGGGGGGAGGAAAGGCTTATTTTTCTAATCTCACTATTTCCATAAATGGTCATAGATATATTTGTTTAGTGTTTCTTTGTGCAGCTCTGTGTTGAGCTGTTAGGTTTCAGGTTTTACACGGAGTTCACAGTTCTTTTATTTGTTGGTATAAAAAATGAACTGGTAAACTGTGTCCTTTACTGGTTCTCGCTGAAGTGCCAAGGTAGACCATTTTATTTTTACTTAGTGGAAAGTATTATGTGACCTACAGTTTTAGGAGAACATTAGAATACATTTTTTTTTAGCCAGTTTGAAACAAAACCAATGTGACAGTATAGAGCAAAAGGATGTTACAGAAAAGAATCTTGGTGTGAATTTCTCTCCGTGTGATCCTTTATAAAATAACAAACTCCAGGGAGCATGCCTTAGAGATTATTGGAGTTTTTTTTTTTTTTTTAATTTTCCCAAAACAAAAATCAGAACTCACCGCAACATCTATTTAATGAAATTTAATTTTAAGATGGAGGGCATTCTAGCCTAGCTTGAGCTAGACTTAAATGAATTTTTCCCAAAGAAAGGCTCTTTCTTGTATTGTGGTACAATGTATGTGGACAAATAGGCAGTGGGCTACACTTATGAACGGGTGTGAGAGAGTGTGGGGGGGAGTCGACTTCCTCTCCTCCCATTTGCTGTATACAGCAAGAATCATGTATTCATATACTCACTTTGTCGGCTGGGCTCCCCTTTAATTTAGAAAAAGGGCAAATAAGTCCTAAGGAGCTAAGTGTTAGAGCTTTCTCCTGCAGTTTATCAGCAGTTGTGTGTTTTGTTGGTTATGACAATCACGGGCAGCAAGTGTGAGAGGGCATTTCTTAATGGGAACATTTGGGAAGAATGTACTTCTGCTCAGTGATATGTGTTGTCACATTTTCAGTAAGAGCGTGCAACACAAGTACCTTCGAGAATGTAGATGGGCCTTTGAGCAAGGGGCTGAGACGTGCACGGTATTTTAAGGTTGCTTACTTCAGAAAGTACCTGTGCGTTTGTGGGGATCACTTGCCTCTAATCTCATGTGATATTGTGCGTTAATTGGGAGCATAATTATACTGCCTGCAAATGAAAATTGTGCTATCTTAGCACTCAAGGTTGGTGCAAATAACTGTGTATGACTTGGTGGACTTAAAAATGACTGCATTCACGTGCAGACAGTAGGTTCCTAACACTTGTGAGCTTGTATTTCAGGCAGTTTGTTTTGTTACCAGCAAAGCGATTGTGAAAGGGAGAAAAATGCATATTTTAGAATGAAAGCTGTGTTTAGAGGTTTGAATCTGTTCAGTGATAAAACTTCGAGGGTCTGTTTTCTCCAAAGCCTGAAAAGTACTGGCCAGAGCAAGTTTGCAGCTTTCTCTGTAGAGCTGCAACAAAAATCAGCCAGCCTTTCTGTTAATAAATGAATGCAGGCAGTACAGCTTCTCCTTTGGAGTTCAGTGACTGGAACTGCAGACTGCTAATGTCCTACTTCTGAACTCAGCAAGAAAAATGTATTGTAAGCTTATCCCCCTTTGACAACCTTGGGCTGTGCCACTGGCTGGCTTGGGGGCTGACTGTTGACTGACATAAGCTTTGCACTCTGCATGGTGCTTGTTCTTATCTGTAGAAAGTGCCGATTACCTTGTGATATTTAAATTAGCTCTCACATCATGGTTGAGCCATATCGGTGGTATATTTTAGTTTTATATTCATAAGGATGATAAAAATCCAGCAGTTCAGGTCTATCTTAAGCACTAAATGATTCTGGGTAGGACTTTCTAACAACTAGTGTAGGCTCATATTAGGAATCCTGTATGTGTCCCTCTTCTGGGATAATTTGTGTAATGCTAAAATATTTGGATCTAAAGTTTGGGAGTGTTTCTGTGTGAGTTTTTGTTCTGTTTCAGAGCTGTGGACTATTGAGTCATTAATATGTCAGATTCTCATTAAGCTTACTTGACCATATTTGAACTTGGTTGAAATTCGACTCCTTCTTCACAGATATTCAGGTTTTGAAAGAGGTGTTCCAAAGCAAATGAGGTGCCCAGGAGCTGGTGGGGTTTTGGTGCAGTGTTTTTTTTTTTTTTTTTTTAACAGGTTTCTTACACTTAGCTCTCACTTCTCCTGTGTCCACTGGCTTCTTGCATCATGGGGAGAATTCTCAAAAAAAGAGAAGTTTCCATGGTCTGGGCATTCTGGCCAAATGTGAAACTGGTCTCTCTAATGATAGGACATGAGGGACCCTCTCAACGCAGCCTCTTTTGCTAGGTGATGGTAGGCCTGCCGAGGGAAAGCTGTGTTGCCCCTTCGCCCCTCATTGTTTAAAATCAGTATTTATTATCCTGAAGCAAAGTCTTCAGCCCGCTTTTCCCCTTTGTGATTCACAGTTTATAAGGCTGTGTTTTAGGGTTTCATTCGCAGTTTTAATTTGAAGGGACAGGGCTCTGGACCGTGGATTTAAAAAAAAAAAAACAATCCAGGTAATTGATGGACAAGTTAAACATCGCCACTTCCCGTGGGCAAATCTGGTTGCTTTTTTGCATCTGACAGGTCTGGATGTGTGTGTAAGGTGGTTGTATATACAACAATGATGAGCGCTGTTGTGTTTGCTGATAGATAAACTGCAAAACTGCTGTAATGGTGGGAAATGTTAATTATGTGAGAACATATTGAGCTTATATTCTCTGGCATGAACTTTTAGAAAAAAAATGCATCAACTGTGCTGCTTTTTTTTTTTATGGGCACAGCTTTCTAATTATCATAATTCAGTTCAGCTCCACTCTTGGATGCTGTTCAAGTGCAATCTCAATTTAAGT